AGTAACTGAACTTTTGAGTAATCATAATTTCCAATTAATCGAATAATCGAGTTATTTACTTTATGATTAATTAAAATTTTGAGGAATCAATTAATCGCACAGCCCTAATGCATAGGTATGTAATGGAGGAAACGTTTCTTTTTCACTTATTGCAATCCGGAGTTGCGATAGGTCGTTCATACAATATTGTTCGCAAAGTTGGCATTTCACCAAAAATGCCACTGCGATGTTTTATGAATCGCACCAATGGCTACTTTTATGAACGTAATGCCCAACATTGTCATTTAATGCTTAGTGGAAATGCATCATTAACCCTACTTAAGGAACGACGATTCTCAACTTTTTTGAATCGATTTACGGATCGAATCGGAACAAAAAAAAACAAAAAAAAAAAATCGAATCGGAAGGGCTCGATTAATCGATCTTCGATCTAAAAGCGGCATCTGAAGTCGACAAAGAGGGAATAGCGCTTCGCGGAAGGCGTCACCTTTGTTTCGCTGCATCGTGCGCCTTAACGGCACTCAAATTTTACAAGAGAGCGAAAAATTTTTTTTTTTAAGGGATTGACTTGATACGTGGTATTTTCTCTAGCTATTATTTCATAAATCTGTTGTTTTAATAACGATTTTACGATTTTTGTGCATAAATCTCGATGCCTGGATTTCAGGGTTAGCAAATCTCATTTTTGCAACAACGGCATTTTAGGTGGTTTTGCAACTGGTCGATGGGCGGAATTTTCAATTAAACTGCAGTTCATTCTCTAACAAAAGACCATATAAACCCAAGTTTAAAACTTTATAAAAGACTACAAAAAAAAGTTCAACAAATTTTCAGCCAAATTTCAAACTTTTTTTCCCAGAAGTGTTAGAATTTTTTTGAGTACACAGTTTATTAGACCATTCAATTTTAGTCTTATGCATAAAACCTAAGCAAATGCTTTTTCTTAAAAATTTAACTCAATTTGTTCAAATTAATTTAAGTGAAATGTATGAAATGTTAAGAAAAAGCAATTGCTTAGTTTTTATGCATACGGCCCAATGTGCAAGTTTCAAGTGGCATTTTTTTGTAGTTTGCTACAAAGTTTTAAACTTGAGTGTATATGGGTTTTGTTAGAGAATGAACGGAATTTTAATAGAAAATTCTTAAAAATGAATAAAAAGAACTTCATTCGATTACTTTATTGATTGATTGATATTGATTTGCAATTACA